AAAACCCTAACCCTTGAAACCCTAGCCTTTTATCTCTATATACTAGCTATGGGGGTTCTATTTCTCATCTCTATATCTCTCTCTCTCTCCAAGCAACCAAAGGGGGCACGCGCCACTCTAGCTTTCTCTCTCTTTCTTTCTCTCTTCAAAAATTAGGGTTTAGGAAGGTTAACCCAAAGTGGTAGCACACCCAAGCCACACAAGCCGTAGCCCTAGGTTCTTGCCTCATGTTCATGTGTTGAGCCTTGATCAAGGAAATTCCATGTGATTCTCTCTAAGGGTTTTGCTTAGGCTGCTCTAATTATGAGGTGTGTTCTTGAATTGAGATCCCATGCGTCATCGGTGGATGAGACCTGATTTGGGGTATACAAAGTCCTTGGGGGTAACCTGAGGCAAGGTACGAGTTGTTTCATGATTCCATGCTTTTGTTGCTTCTTTTGCATTCTTATTTAATTTTCAGTTCTATGATGAATGTAATTTTCTTTTAATGACATGCAAGTGAGAGGTCTTAGCTATTTCATTAAGTCAAAATTAGTTTTGGACACTTGTAAGTGATCCGGGTGGCGATACGTACAAAAGAGTAGAAAAAATTTAATTGGTATTGACTTGCCCGGTCATATAGACCTTTCACTGACGTGTCAATCTATATTGACACATGGCACTTGTTTGTACATCTAGGTTGTATCTATCTTTGACCGTTAGATTCTTGACGCTATTGTCAGTGGCGCTGGCACCACTGGCAATGTTGCCGACCTTTTTCTTCTGCTTGACCTTCGTGTATCTTTGTCTTTGTCCAAAGTGTCCGTGCAGCTTTTCATGTGTCCGTGCTTGGAGTGGCACTGACGTTATTGGAAATGGTGTTAGGATTTTCTGCTCCCGAACTACTTCTAATTTAGTATTTCTTGATTCTAATCTGCCTCGCTTGTCCTCGGGGGCATTCCTTAGTGCTTCAAGCTCTGTCAGACTGACTTGGGTATGTGGGGTATGAGTTGTGGTTGGTTTCAGTCAGGTGTGATTGGTTCAGGTTTTAGGGTGGATTGCTTGAGGTATTTTGGTATTTTATGGTTTCCTTGATCAGGATCAGGGTGTCTATACATTCGAAGTATTAAAGTTGGGCTTATCTTGATACTATTTTTGAGAAGCCGAACCACCCTCCAAGTGAAAGTAGGATTAAAATTTTCCTTTCTTTTTCCTTTATTTACCACGCGGATCACGTACAAGTGTCCTAATACACAATATAAGAACCAATAAATACATGAACAATGCCAAGAACTCTTACTTGCTTGCCATCATAACAAAATCTTATTCACAACATGAATCTGAAAATTACATAATACTTGGAATAAAATCAGGAAAAGATGAAATAAAGCAACACCACATACCTTGCTTCAGGTTACCCTCATCGGGTCTCCTCCACTAATGGGCACGGGATCTAGGTCCAAACATGTCTCAGAACTTGGGAAAACTACGCAAAACCACCAGAGAGCATGACAAGGGATAGGGCTGGACCAAGGCTTAACACATGAGTACAATTCAAACCTTGGCTATGTTGTGCCACTTTTGTGGCTTGGGCGTGCCACCTCTTAAGGTTTCTTAAACTCCTAAACCATAAGTTAGAGAGAGAAGAATAGAGAGATATTAGAGAGGGGTGTGCCAATCCTAGGGTTTAGAGGGAGGGAAAGAGGCTAAGTCAGGATGCAGAAAAGTACCCCCATAGTGAGTATTTATAAAATAGAGGCTAGGGTTTTGCCATTATTATGAGACCCAATCTTGACCTTTGATCATAGAGACCTATGAAGTGAAGAGATCTAATCCATTCATTTCTTAGATTAGTAGTCATGATTAAAAAGAATGAGGTGAAACCATTGTCCCTCGATTTCCATAACTCCATTCCCATCAAATATTGTGTAGAGAAAGTACCATCTTAATGCAAATTAATTTCAATTATTGTCTTACACTTACCATTTGAAATCAATCAAAATCTCTGTAAAACACTTTCTATAAATTTCAAACAAAGTGTATGGCTTCTTTCACAAGCCACCAAAATAGGAGCCATCGCTCAGCTTCGCCTTTGGTCTCCTTATGTCGGCTCTTTCTCCAAACAGAGAGTCTGGCTTACCCTTGATCATATCCCATTGCATGCTTGGTCTCTGGCTACTTTCAAGATTATAGCAGCAACTTGTGGGGATCTTGTCTCAATCCTTTGGAAATCCCTGGAGTTTCTTCCTCTCAGGTCCATTCGACTACTGTTGGAAGTGCTTGACCCCTCTGGCTGAAGGTTGAGGAATGCTACTTTCGGATTGCGCTTTCTTGGTCTCCTGCATCCATGCCTTCCCCCCATTTCTTCAACCAGCCTTCCTACCCCCAAGAGAGCATTAGGATACTCTCTCAGTGGACCCTGGTTAAAAGGAAAAGACGACGAAAAAAAGTTTCCAGACAGAAGGCCAAAGATTTTCCCGTGGCCTCCACTCTTCGGCCTGTTTTCCGGCTAGCCCTGGATGCAAACGGTCACCTGCCAGTCAAGACAAGAGCCGTGTGTCAGCAGACTTCCAAAATCCCCCCGTCCAACTCAGCACCTCGGTCAGACGTAGGCGCTGATGGCTCAGTTGGGCCTGGTTCCAGCTCGCCCAAACACGTTCTTGACCATCAGCACATCCCGGTTATCCCTTTACTCGTGGGCCCCCCTCCCCCCCCCGTGGCCCGAGTCTTTGGCCCACTCTCTCCTCCCATCTCTTTAACTTCCATCCCTCCTCCCCCAACTGTTGTACCCTCGAGCCCCTCACTTCGATTGCCTCCCTCCCCACCTGTCACACGTCCTCTACATGATCCCTTGGGATCGACACCTGCCCCTCCCTAGCCTCGTTCTCTACCCCTCATCTCACCTACCGCGCAGCCATCTCTCTCCATCCACGCCGCCCCAAGCGACGAGTGTAACTCCCCTCCCACCTACCCTAGCTCTTCCCTTTCCTTTCCCTCCCTCTCGCCTGGAGCTTCTGACCCTCTCCCTGTTACTTTCTCTCTGCCCCTGCTCACTTCCCTTGCTCCCTTTGTTGTCTCCGCCTCCCTTGCGACAGTCCCTTCGTTGACCAGCATCCCATTGCCTCTACCCCCTCCAGGTTTCACCTCCCTTCTTTTCTTTCCTTTCCCTTTTACCCCTGCTGTTTCTGACATAATGGATAGAAACCTGCTCCCTTTTGGTATTGCCTCAGTTCAATCCTTCGACTCTTTCCCTCTGGAACCAAACATAGTCTATGGCTTGTTGTCCCTTCACCTTCACTTTGAGCCACATCTCATTCGGACTGCCAAGTAAGAACAATGCACGTTCACTATCCCCCCCCTTATCAACACTGGTCAGCAGACTACTCCTCTGTGCATATCCACCATTACCTTGCTTACCTTCCCTCTCTGATCCCCGTTGTCGCACCTTCTCCCCTCTCCTCTCTTTCCCCTTATGAACTTTTTTCTCCTCCTGTTTATGGGTATCATGAAGTATCACTCTCTTCCACCCCCCACCAGGTCAATACATCCCCTCTCTTCCTCTCCACCCAACCCTCTCGCACTCTCCTCCTCTCGACCCAACCCCCTCTTTTTTCCTCCTTTTCAACGCATAACTTACCCTACCTCCTTCCCCCTTCTCACTAGGACCCGGTTTCTTTCGTCTCTGCACCAGTTTCTAATGTTGAAGAGACTCTTCTCGTCTCTGCACCCTCTTCTTCTGATGAAGAGTCGTCATGTAGACACAACCACCAGCACCGCTCAAGCTGTCACACCTGTAGCTGAATCCAGCTCCAAACACGTCGACACAAATGCCACTGATGGAAATAACAAGGAAGAACGTGTCCGAGACCAGGAAAAGATGAAGGAGATCTACAAAGTTATTGGCTTCGAACACGATGGACCAGAGGGACCCGCTTACCTCTTCTTACAGGCTGATGCTCAGAGTCGCATTAAGGTGTCATCAAAGGCACAGAGGGAACTTTTGAACCTCTTTTCCTCTCTCTTACCTGTTGATTTTAACTCACCAACTCAGTGGGATCACCCTACCTCGCTCCCGAGAAGGTCAGCCAGATTGACCTCTTCCCGGGGAGGTACCCCGGTATTCCATTCGGACCCATGAAGCTCCTGTCATGGAATATTAGAGGCTTGGGCCAGCCTTGCAAAAGAACTGCAGTCAAGGATATGACTGTAGAGTTCTAACCAACCATTCTGACTATTTATGAAACTAAACTTCCTGAGCCTACCCTCCCCCTTATTAGGCAGGTTTGGGGATGCAGACCTATCCAATGGGTCTCCTAGCCTGCAAATGGGGCGGCAGGGGGCATTTGGGTCATTTGGGATCCTTCAGATAACACTTTATAGTCTTCTTCCACTCCAGAGACTTTTCAATCACAATTCTACTATCCCGTATCTCAGATGGATTTCTTTGGAAATTCACGGCTGTCTATAGCCCTAATTCAGAAGTAGATAGACCTCAATTTTGGGTAGAAATTCTTATATTTGTTAGTTTTCCTTGTAAAAATGAAATGGTTTATTACTGGCCATCTTTGATCTTTTACTCCTGACTGGGATTGCTGTTGTCCATTTCTCAATTAAGAGTTTTATTTTACGCTACAAAGTAATTTCTTCTAGAAATATACCTGTGCATAATTGCTTTTTATTTTTATCTTTAGGAGATTAAAGGCGTTGCACTTGCGCTAACTACCTGCCATGTTACATTAGCATTTTCGATGTATTTTATGTGAAGAAATAAAGAGGGATAATGTAATGCCTTGTGTGTCTTCCCAATCTCCTCGGTTTGCTCATTTGCATGTTTTGGTTTGGAGGCTATCATGTTCTGTTAGAGTAGCTGTGAAATAAGTTCAGTAGGATTCTCATGTCACTCTGTAATCTCATGGCTGCATTCTTAATTCATATTCAATTGCTTTTTTCTGGAGTTTTATGTAGCTATCCATAAGTTCATTGTCACTTATCTGAACACTCCGGTTCTTCTAATTGTGAAGGTATATCAACTTTTGGGCGACATTAAGTTAGAGTTTGGTGATGCGCATTCTGCTTATGCTACAGAAACTTATGAAAGAGAGCTTGATTTAAATACAGCAGTGGTTAAAGTTAAGTATGCTGTTGGAGAAGTAGAATATACCCGGGAACATTTTGCATCAAATCCTCACCAGGTGATTGTGACTAGAATATCTGCAAGTAAATTGGGTTCCCTCTCCTTCACTGTATCGTTAGACAGCCGAATGCATCATCACTCAAGTGTGAATGGTAAGAACCAAATAATTTTGCAAGGAAGTTGTCCTGGTAAAAGAAAACCACCTAAAGAATATTCAAATGATGACGCAAAAGGAATCCAGTTTTCTGCAATTATTGATGTGAGAATAAGCGAGGAAGCTGGGGTTATACAGTTATTGGACAACAAAAAGTTGAATATTGTTGGAGCAAATTGGGCCATTTTGCTTTTGGCTGCTTCCTCCTCATTCAATGGCCCATTTACTAAGCCTTCAGATTCTACAAAGGATCCTACTTCGATTTCTCTTGCTACTCTTAGTTCTATAAAAGATACCCCATATTCTCAGTTCTATATGCATCACATAGATGATTATCAGAAACTATTCCACCGTGTTTCTCTTCAGATTTCAAGAAGTTCCAAGAACTCCAATCATACCCACATTAAGAAATATGAGGCTATAAACAATTTTGTGAATAACTTTCCGCTTTACAACAGAAAGAACCTGCCCTATAAATGGGAGCACAAAAAGGGGGACAATGATGGTGTTGTCGTTTCAACAGCAGACAGAATTAAATCTTTCAAGACAGAGGAGGATCCTTCTTTGGTGGCACTTCTATTCCAATATGGCCGATACTTGCTAATCTCTTGTTCACGTTTTGGAACGCAAGTTGCAAACCTACAGGGCATATGGAACAAGGATATTGAGCCGCCATGGGAGTATGTATTGTTCTTGGAACCTTTTATAGTAGATACAATGATCGTGCTTTGGTATTATTATTGGTTGTTTCATTCATTAATTCTTTGCTAAGTCCTTCTAAATACATATGTAAACCTTTCTACTTTGTTGAGAATGATAATGCTATTGATGTTGATGTCTATAATCGTGAATCAAAGATACAACTATGATATTTTTGTGGAAGAGATATAACATGCATTTTTGTCAAGAATTCGAATGAAATGTGAACTTTTATCTAGGTTATTGTTACTTCTTTTCTACTTTGTATTGACTTTTATGCATTGGTCTTTCCTTTATTTTGATAAAGTTGACTATATAGTAATTTTATAATAGGTGTGTGTTTATATTGCTGTTGTGTGTACAAAGTGGACCAAATGGCCAACCAATGCCAAAAGATAAGTTTGGGCATCAAACAATGGTCAGAAATTAAATGTACAATTATAGAAGATAGAAAGAAGGTCATTCAAAATGGGGAAGAGAACAAGGAAATGCCCCTTGTAGGAATCTCTAGGCTGGATTGAAAGTAGGACTATATGACCCGGGCTAGTATAAATTGATAAAACATTGTTTTTTCTTTTTCTTTATTTTACCACACGAGTCACTTATAAGTGTCTAAATACCATATGTGAACCAATAAAACCACAAATTATGCCAAGGACTCTCACATGCTTGCCATCAAAACAAAATTTCATTCAATATATAAATCTGAAAATTACATAATACTTTTAATCAATTCAAGAAAGGATGAAATAAAACAATATCGCATACCTTGACTCATGTTATCCCCAAGGACTTTATACACCCCATACCAGTTCTCTTCCACCAATGGCACATGGAATTTCTATCTCACCTCGTCTTATAACTCGGAAAACCTCTTGAGAGCATGATATGGGATAGGGCTTTGACCAAGGCTCAACACAAAATCATAATGCAAAGCACATAGGCTTGGGGCATGCCACCCTTGTGGCTTGGGCATGCCCCTTAGGGTTTCTAGCTTCTATAAATATTAAAACCCTAACTAAAGAGAGAGTAGAGAGAGAGAAAGTGGGGCATACTTGCCTCTAGGGCTTAGAGAGAGAGGCAAAAGCAAAACAAGCTGCAGAGAATAGATCCCCCCATAGAGAGTATTTATGGAATAGGCTAGGGTTTTGGGATTTAAGGTTTTGCCATCAATATGAGACTCAAGCTTAACCTTTAATTATGGAGACCTATGGGGTGATCAAATCCATTCCACACAAGCCACACAAAATAGGAAAGAGAGGAGGAAGTGGGGGTATCCCACTCATGGGAGGCTTTGTGGGCCCCATGCCCCCACTAGTGGGCTCTCATGTGGTAGGCCCAAATGTCCCAATGGGCCCCCACACCTTAAAACAATATTTTAGAATAATAAAAAGAACCTTATAAAATCATTAAATATTTTATTTTTCTCTTTGATTAAAATAAATCCATAAAATTGATTTTTCCTTATTTAAAAAAATCATTTTTCAATAAAATAAAATATCTAAAGAGGTCTAAAAATTCAATTTAATTATCTAAAATATAATTAAACATATCTAAGAAGATTTAATGGAAATTGGATCGAAAGAGTTAGGAATAATGCAGAGTAACTCCATCCTTTCTAGAAATTGCATCTTCTCAAATTGCCTCAAAAGATCGCATGACCCATAGCCCTTCGTAGGGGTTCATGATTGGACTACCAAAGTCTGCCAATAAAGGAAGGGGACACGATCCTCACCCATGGATTACAGGTCCCTCCCTGAGGACAAGTCCAGGTCCCAGTCTAGCATGATATTGATGTGGTATAGAGTCTAGCGTGTTCTTTGAGCAAAATCAAAATGACAATACAACTCGAAATTTTCAATAAGTAGTCTTGCTTAAACAAACAAATAACAATTACAGCCACTCAAATCAAATGTAAGAACACTTTAAAACATGAATACCACTTACAAATGACTCTATAACAGTCCCCTTGTGGGGCACAATACATGTCTTTGCCCACAAATCAAAACTATGTCACAAAGTATGACTTTTTACAAGAAATGAGCTTATGCTATTATATAACCAAATGACATAACATAAACACTTAAATCAAAAATTCTAAAACTTTTCTAGACTTGTAACAGTGAGTTGAGTGCCAATCTTAAGTGGAGAAGGCAATGGATTCGAACCCTTATGCCCGAGTCACAAACAGACTTTTTGAGGACTTAATATTGTCCCAAAGATGAGTGGAAGAGTGGTTTTGTAATCACAAGGTGATCATTTCAAATGAGAAGCTTGAAACACTTTTAAAATAACTAATAAAGCCCAATGAGAGATTAAAATGATGGAGATCAATTTGCAAAAGTAATGAGAGAGATCGGACTCAAAACGAGTCAAATATGAACAAACTACTCCATATGGTCCACCGGTCCACTAATGTTTTTCTCGATGTAAAAAGAGGAACTCTAACTCAACAAATGAACTTCTAAAATAGATATTCATTATCTGAACTTGAAGATTAATAAAGGATGTACTGAAGAAAATTTGGATGGAAAGGATCTATGAGAAACTAGACATGATTCATTAAACAATCTAGGTATTGAACTCACGATCAAGGTTAAGGGGCACACCCTATAACTCTAGCTTGAAGATCATGCAAAACCAGTGATAAAGGAAGTTAAACTTCTGTAAACATGAATTTACAGCAAGTTTAGATCATGAAGATGAAAAATCACAAATAGATGATACCTTGATGGTGACATATGATGGACTTGACATTGTAAAAGGAAGGAGCACCATTAAAAATCATCTTGTGATCAAGAACATGAACCAGAAGGGGCTGAACGTGGAGCTGACATTTTGATCTTTTTCTCTCTCTTTGATACATGAAAAGTTTTTTCTTAGGGTTTCAATTTAGGCTTTAAGTGTATTTAAATGAAGTGTTATAAGTTATGAATTGATCATGACCTTTGATGCATTTTATCAATGGCACATGAGAGGCTAATTTTCCTAGCCACTTATCCCCATCCAACTACTAAGATGAAGGGATGAAATTTAAGGATGTGAATAAAATCAAACTTTAAGTTATAACCATAAATAATAATATAACATAAAGTTAAAAAAAAGAAAAAGTGACCAAGTGCCAGAGGGTCTCCCATGCATGGGAATCTGCACCCAAACAAGGGGGGCCCAACGTGAGGGGTCCATGGTGCCACGTGGCCACCCTATGGCCACTTGAGTGCCATGTGGCATCCACATGGATGTCCTCACATGAAAATAAGCCCGAACAATTTTGAAAATCACATTTTTGGTGATTTAAAAAATCCAAAAAAATTCTCCAAAAATTTCAATAAATATTTAAATCATATTTAAACATTTTAATATTATTTATCATTAAAAGAAAATCAGACAAAAGGTATGTGAGATCTCGAGGCTTTGATTTTAAGTCTCAAAGTACTCCATTGGGCTAGTCCCGAATGATGTTCCTCTGTGTCTCAAGTTGACCCAATGCACTTATGCTCCACAGTCTATGGCAGGGACACGTAATTGGACACATCAAATTCATTGAGGCAGAGCTTCTCATCATCGGGTTCTTACAGGGGTCCCACCCAGTTCCCTGGCCAACTGTCTTGGGCACAACTCCGACCTCAGCAAGGGATAACCCCACATTAAAATCCTTACCGGTTGTGCACAAATGCCTAGGGATGGTAAATTGGACCACACTTCCATTAGAGCCAACATATCTCTATAGTACATGCTCTCATAGGGCCCTTCAATGGCCATATAACCTCAACATGGGCTAGGGAAGATAATCATTAGACTGTAAGATTATTGGTTTTGTGTGGCCTTTTCAAGGCCTTGACACCCATCTAACTCATACCCATTTTATGGTTGCTGGCCCCAGCAGGAGCATGAGACCCCAAAGGGGATTGATGGGTGGCTCGCCTACCTGTTGTAACTCACCGGGCCTTGGTAACTTGGGGCCCAAAGGAGGTGTCTTTGAGTTATGGAAGCCCTTGACCATGGGTTTTGGGCAGTTTACTCGGTTACTACAAGGGTTGAAGTGTAATCCCTCAGTCGAGGTTGGTGTATGCTTGCTATCAGTGCCAGGATAGTGTGTTCCCATATAGGAGAGATGGTCTATGAGGAAGAGGGCCAAACCTCAATATAACACCATCCATGGCATATATGACAACCACATATGATGGGAAGCCGTCTTCTTAGGAGATGATGTAACGTATATGTGCGAAGAGAGGAACCTCTGCATCGCCTTGTGTGGTGCCTAGTGTGCTTGCCTTGGGGTGCACCTGTAGTCCACGGAACTCCAGAAGTCTACCACTTATTTGTCGTCTTTGACGGGCCAATCATGACTACTTGATATTGTGGGTGATAGGTCCTATTTGATTGATTTGAGAAAGTGGTAGAATTTCATGTTAAGCCGATTGGTGTGTCATAGATGTGTTAGAACTCGAGCAGTCTAATCTCCCTTTTTCTGAAATTTTTGTTGGAATCCTAAACCAAGTTGTTTTTACATATAATGTTGAAAAGTGAGTTTTAATAATTATTGGTATTTGGAAAATCTTTTGGGGACGAAATTGATGAAAATGAAACCACTTTAGGAATACCAAGCAAGGACAAAACCATGTGAAGCATTGGCACAAGTGATTCACTTGCTTACCGATGCATGCACCCAGGAATACTCGACCCGGCTCGGCTGGTGCTCTATACGAAGGGGTAACAGGAGAGGAATGAACACTGAACTGTTAAGTTGAGGGAGAGGTATTCTAACTGCAAAAATTAGTAGGGGTCGGCATTGAAGGAAGAGAGGTCCAAATGGCCCATGGGGTCCACCGTGGACCATCATGTGGGCCACACGGTACTTACATAAGGGTGATGTCATCATTTGGGTCCTTTTCGAGAAACTTGAATTTGTTTGTATGGACTTATGTGGGATTTTGGTTATCAAACACATGGGGTATAAAGAGGGTATATCTTGGTCTTTTTCATCAAGGGCCATAAGCTATTTGTGTCATTGTCCTAAAGCTGGATGCATGTTACAAGATCTCTTATCCTATACATAAATTAACCAAGGACATGTCACTATGATTAGAACACATGTGAATTAGTTACAATTAGAGATAGAGTTGTTAAGAACAAACAAGGTTTAAAAAATAGGCGATCTGGATTAAAATCGCCCTAGCGGATTTCGCACTGGCCATTCAGATCCCCTCATATATTGCGATTCACCTGTGTCCCTCCTTGCATTGCCATTACTATTGCTCCGAATCAGCGATTTACTACAGTAGAATCGCTGATCCATTAAAAGCCCCAATTATTGATGCTACAGTGAACCAATGATCCCTTTTTCATGGATTTGGATAATTTGGATCCACTTTTTTGGCTTTCTTAGGTAATTATTGGATTGAAATCATTGAAAATCCTCTGTAAAAACACTGTATTGAACAAACACATGTGAATTTTCATGATCAATTTAATGCTCGAAATTCGTTTTTTTTTTGTCACCTATTCTAAAAACTCCACCACTCCTTTTGATTTCAGGTTTCATTTCAACGGAAATCATCTATTTCTTGGCTCAAATTGAAGCTATTTGAATCCTCCACAAAATTATTGTGCCAATTTTGCCTATTAAACAAGTCTTGTATGTCAAATTTGGATTGAAAGCTAGGGTTCCTGAAACATCCACAAAAAAACAAAAGTTGGATCGATGGCAGTATTTTTGGTCGATTTCGATCGAATCTCATTGGGTTTTTGATCTATAGAGCCTTGATTCTAACATAAATCAGGTAATGTTTGTTTAAAAAATTTTGCATACCTTTTTCTACAATTTTTTTTGTTTGCATGTTCTGCAAAATTTAGGGTTTTACCATTTTGATTTGTTATTCCTCAAATTTGAATCAAATTACTTGAAATTTCACTCAAAATGACTCTAATGGAAATAAATTTTATATTATAACTTCAAATTAATGGATAGAAATCGAAAATAACATGATTTTTGATAAACCAAGGATTTGTTTTTGAGTTTTAAGAAATCATTTTTCTAAAATTAGTGTTTTACTAAATAAAAATATTTTGATGTATACCAGTTGTATATGTCTGTGAAATGTGAATCAATATTTTTTTTCATTTCTATACAATTAAACTGAATTTTATGTATATATTTTAAAATTTTCAGAGAAAAATATTTTTTTTGATTGTTTTTTTTTTTTTTTTTTGTGTATATGGGCAGTGATAATTTCATTGATGGTGATGATGTCCTGGAGTTTTTTCGTTAATGGTGTTCTGTTTTTGTTGTGATATGTGATAATTGTGTTTTTTTATTATTGATGTTTGTATTTGGTGCTAAATTGTTTCATTTATTACTTGGTTGTTTAGTGTGGCTTGTATTGCTGTAAATATGTTTAGTTTATTAGTTGGATGTTTAGTGCGGCTTGTATTGCTGTAAATATGTTTTAGTTATTAAAGCATTGGTGAAATCGTCGTTTTCATTTCTGGTGTTTTTGTTTTGTGTTATTGGTACGAATATTGTGTTTATGCCTTGTTTAGTGGTGATTTAGGGTGGAGTTGCAGTTCTATGTGTAAGCTGCATTTTTCTGGTTTGAATTTCATGGTGTGGGAGTAATTATACTCCTATATCTTTTTATGGTGCGGTTTCTATAAGGTTGCAACCTTAAACAATCCATTTAAGGCGCATCTTAAAATTTTATCATAACATGTAATTTTGTTGTAAAACATTCTTAGTATTATCTTAAAATCTATTTTCATACCTAATTAGAAAATTTTAAATTCCAAAAATTGTTAAAATCAAGTAGATCTATAGATATATGAAAATCTTGAAAATGGACGGTCTAGATAACCTTTTGCAAGATGCACTATTTCCGAGATTCAAAAACTTTTTTTTTCATATTCATAGATCTCGATGTCGAGTTGATTGATTAGAGGGTTTTTTCAACATTAAAACAACATTTCTGATAGATTTTTGAGGTGCATCTGTGATTCTACATTTTAAGGTTGCAACCTTATATAAACTTTTCCCATCTTTATTTTTTATTTTCTTGTTGTTAGATAGCTTTTATGGTGATGAGGCCAGGTCTGTTTTTTTGCGTTTTGAGGTTTCCTATTAGAAGTTTTTTGATATATCTTCATTGGGATTTGTCCTTCATTTGTTCCAGATCAAAAAACCAAAAAAGGAGAAAGAAAAGGGGCTATTACATTTTTAAATGGAATAGTGGTTCTATATTAAAAATTGAATATGTTGTTTCTTCATTTCTGAGGTTTCCTTGATTATTATATTTAATTAGTTGTTTTATAATTTGGGAACTGATATGATTATGTTGATATGAAAGTTCACCACTGCTGTAATTTGGATTCAATGTTGTATGTCTGTTCCTTTCCTTCCAAGCAGGGATCCCATTGTTTCTATCTCTGTTTAATTTTTCTTAAACTCTTTTTTGAATCTCTCTCTCTCTCTCTCTCTCTTTCTCTCTCTCTCTTTCTCTCTCTCTCTTTCTCTCTCTCTCTCGGGGTGTCTAGGTTTTAGCAAATAAGGGTTGTTAGAGATCTGATGCCTGAACATGTAATATGGAACTGATGATGACGTACATGTTCCTGCTTCTGTGACAATACTTGAGCATTGTTTGTATGTGGTGGTTCTATATCAGTAGTGTTTTGTTTTGTGGCTTACTAAATTTATTGTTTTTATTACATTTAATTCAATTTAATATTTAATTGGAGTTAAATTTTTTCCTTGTTTCTTGATGAAGAGGGTATAATATATATCTTCACAATATAACAATTTTATGTTATTGTTTTATTTGAATAATATCCTTCGTTGTTCATGCTTTTCTATCTTCTTTTAAGATGATTACATGATACCTCTTCAAATGTTGGCTGATGCACATGTGCCTATTTATTAAACGATAAACTTTCATTGATTTTTTAATATTAGAGAATGCTACTTTAGAAGGTGCCAAATGGTCATATTTTAGAAGGTGGGATGGATTTAAAAAGTGAAAAATATTAATAAAATTATTTTATTAGGGCACATATAATTAGGCAGGGGTTAGGGGGGAGGTCACTCTGTGCAACAATATACCTGCGAACGTCAGGAAACATATGGTGGCTCTCATTAAGGCTAATAAGGGCAAGAAAACAAGCAAATAGAAGATGGAGGAGTTCGCTAGCCTATATGTGTCATCAAGTGAGATGGATTTAGAGAGCAATTCGATCTCGACATGGAGCTTGCAATGAGAGCCAGCTTGGAAGATGTGCTCTGGTGAGAGAGCGGAATCAGTATTAAAAGTGGTTACAGAATGGGCATTTATGGAGGGCCTAGCCCGAGCGTGTATGAAGGCCTCGGCCCGAGCATATATGGTAGGCCAGCCCTGAGCACATATGGTACATAGGGCCTGGCAAAGGGGCACCTGGTGCCAGTTCAACTGCAGCAGAGGGTCATCTGGGGCAACCTCGTCCCACACTTCAGATGTAGAGGAGACTATCCTGGCTTTTCAAGCATGCAATAGATCAACGAGGCCAATGGCTGAGGGTCGCAGTGATCCATTCGTCTTCAAGCCTAAATCTGGACAAATATGATCAAAGGTGCATATAATGGCAAAGACCATGGGAAAATGGTGTTATGATCAAGTGATCCCCTTCAGCGCACCCAACAGCCCATATTACCCTTCTATGGTCGTTGAAATTCATAAAGCTTGACATGGGGTTAAGCTTCCTATATAGCATATGAGCTTAGCAAGGCAATCTTTCTTGTAGAGGTAGAAGATATTCAGAAATAGATTGGGGATCTTAAGGAGAGTTGACTGAGAGCGGGTGTCACCTTCATGAATTTTGATTAGTGGGATAAAGTCACCTTCATGACCTTCCTGTACAGTAGAGAGGTCACTGGAGTGAGGAAGGAAGCTACGTTCATTGCACAATTATTGGACCAGATAGTCGAAGAGGTGGGAGAGAAGCATGTGGTTCAAGTTGTTACAAATAATGCCAGGGCTTGTGCTTCAACAAGGTCAAATTTGATGGAGAAAAGGAAACATTCGGTATGGACCCTATGTGCTGCTGCCCATTGTATTGATCTCATATGGGAGGAGATTGATCTCACTTGGGAGAGTCGTTTTTCTTGCTGAAGAATATGCATGTCAAAGTTGGGCACTGAGTTAGAGTCTTGGTGATGTCCTTAGTATTTGATATGATTATTTGATTTTATGTGTTTCTAATTGATCTTGTTGTCCCTTTTTTCCAACACGACATTGTGGAGACAATATGTGTTCCATTTAGACAGCTTCTTACTTTTCTTGTAGGACAAAGCACATTAAGGTTGATAATGCATGAGTCGTCTTGCAGAGGAGTTGTTTCTCTCCATCATATTCTTGGGAGGATCAAGTTGCCAATCTTTTCATTGAGTACTGATCGGAGATCCAATCATAAGATGTTGTGTCTCTCTATAACTGCTTCAATTTAAACTTTGAACACAACCATTGAGATTATTATCTTGTATCTGGGATACTCTATGTCCTGTTTATGTTTTGTACTGTAGTGTTGTACTTTATATATTGTAGTTTTCCTGCTGTATGCTGTATAGGATTTTCCTATGACATTAGTCTCTCATTTTCTCAGTGAGACTTACTCCTCTGTCCTTGTCTGTTCTTTACAAAGCTAGAAGCGAAAAGGTAAAAGCAAAGAGTACTAAGATAGAATACATGCTGACGTTAGTTAATTTTTACAATTAAACATTTTGAGTTATGTTTTCAGATTTCTCAGATTGCTCTAACAAATCTGTGCTCTTTCTGTGAAATCAGTGAACATGGAATTCAATAATGAAAATGCTAATAATATTCTTCTTAAATGTGTTTCTAAAATGTCATGTATGTTTAGGTATACTTAATGGGTACTTTTCAAGTTTTGTGGAACACAAATGTTGATTGCATCTTTTTTACCAGTGGTGCTCAGCATCTAAACATCAATCTACAAATGAATTATTGGCCATCACTTCCTTGCAATCTAAGTGAATGCCAAGAACCATTGTTCGACTACATCTCCTCTCTTGCAATCAATGGAAGTAAAACATCGCGAGTAAGAAACTTCTTTCAATTTGAACACGGGGTTTCTATTTTTGTATGCTATTAAATAATTTTGATATTATCCCTATTTCATCACTATATCATTAACTGTGCACAAAATTGATGGATAAAATTCATCGCAACAGGTTAACTATGAAGCCAGTGGTTGGGTTGCACATCAGGTCTCAGATATTTGGGCAAAAACATCACCAGATCGCGGTGATCCAGTGTGGGCATTGTGGCAAATGGGTGGAGCGTGGCTTGCTACACATCTTTGGGAGCATTACGCTTTTACAATGGACAAGGTAGTTGTTTTGGATGCTTCAAGTAGACATTGTTACTTTGATGCTTGATCAGTGTGTCTTATGATTATCTTATAGAAAGTAAATAATTCAAACGTACCATATGAATATTATTTATGATTTTGTGTGTTTGTATGTCTATACGTATCTAAGTGTGCATGTGTGTGCTTGTGTGTAAGGGATTTTCCATGGTCTACATACCTAGAAAACATATTTGTGCTCTTTAGAGATTGGTCATAATCACATCGTTTACATGCCCATAAATAATATTGAAAGGCATTTTTGTAATTTATTCAAAACAATTTTGGGAGCCAAAATTTCGAAATTTTGTGGAGAATCCTTTCATATGCCCTCCTTTCTCTGTCCCTACCCTACTTCTCTTCTTTCTTTTATCCTAGCCATGACATTCCAAACTATGACTGCTATAGTGAGCAAGCAAGAGGAGGTTACAAGGAAAAAACTGTTAAGGTGTAGATACCGGTCTCTTAATATACAACATTTAAAAGTTTTATGGAAGTATACACTTTTGCTTATACACTTTTTTACAAATTTAATGCCATATCTCGTTGTTACAATCACTTAATTATTTGATATACACCAATAAAAGAGAATCATATACACCTCAAAACGGACCCAACATGTTTTCCATTCATTTAGACCCAATGAGATTGCTTGCATAAAACACAACTTTTTACATATGAAAAATTCAGCAACATATAATTCTTATACAATTTCATTAAAATACTTACATATACAAAATTACAATTCAATTGTAGTCTCATTCTTTACAACTCAACCAAAAGTGCGTACAACAGATAGAAGAACCATGAGAAGCCAAATTACAGTATAAGGTGCCTAGTAGGTCTGGGGAAGGTACGAAGGCGACTAACAGGGGGAATTAGGAGT